TGTTAGTAATCGAGTGTCACAGATACAGGACTTATCCAGAAAATTTGATTGGTGTCACGTAAGTTCAGCAAAAAATCCTGCTGATTTGCCCTCACGAGGCGTATTACCTCATGATTTGCTAAACTCAACCTTGTGGTTTAATGGCCCTGAGTTTCTTCATGATCCTAATCATGATTTACAAAAGTACAAATTTGAAGTTAATAGTAACAAAAGTGATACCCCTTTATCAGAAGCAAAGAAAAATGCCCATTTATCTCTTAATGAGCCCCAAGACACTACATTTTAAAAGATTTTTTTAAAAGGCATTCAATTTTCTCTCGTTTACTACGTGTTATATCCTATGTGCTCAGGTTTAAACATAATATTGAAAACCCAAAAAATTTGTTTGCAGGAACGCTTTCGGTAAGAGAATTGAGGAATTCCCTGTACTTTATTGTGAGAAAATTACAACAAATTTACCTTTCGGAGGAAATTCATGAGCTTGAAAATAATAAGACCCTCAACAATAAGAATTTGTTATCTTTATCTCAAACCCTTTCTTGATCAAGATGGATTATTAAGGGTTGGAGGTAGGTTGTCAAGGGCTAATATTCCATATGATCAGAAACACCCTTTGCTATTACCTTCACAAAACAATTTTATCGCTATGATGATTAAATTGGAACATATCCGACTTGGCCATGCAGGCCCACAGACAGATCTCTCAAATATGCGACTAAGATTTTAGCCTTTGAATGGTCTTCGACAAATTAAAACTATTGCCCATCATTGCCTTGTGTGCTTTAGATTTAGGGCTCAAGCTTCACAACAACTAATGTCAGACTTGCCCAAGGACCGAATATAAATTTCACATCCGTTCGACAAGGTTGGAGTTGATTATGGTGGTCCGTTTTCTTGAAATCCTCAAATTTAAGAAAGGCACCGGTTGTCAAGGCATACTTAGCTCTGTTTGTATGTCAACTAAAGCAGTGCATCTTGAGCTTGTAAGCAGTCTCACGACTGAAGCATTATTACAGTGTTTTACTAGATTTGTCTCCAGACGTGGAAATCCCACTGTAATTTATTCCGATAATGCCACAAATTTTGCAGGAGCACGAAATGAACTTAAGGTTCTTCGTGACTTTTTCAAACGCCTAGATAATTATAGTCAGATCAAAGATTTCCTTGCTAAACTAAAACAGATATAGAATTTAAATTTATTCCGCCACGTTCTCCTCATTGAGATTAGGGGAATCTGCTATCACAGGTGCCAAGTATCATATAAAAAGAATAATAGGAGAAACTTCACCAACATTTGAAAAGTTTAATACCATCTTGACAAAAATTGAAGCCATTATGAATTCTCGCCCAATTTGTGCACTTTCAAATGATCCAAACGATCTTGGTTCATTGACACCGGGACATTTTATTGGCAGAAGTTTAACTGCGTTTCCTGACAAGGACGTAACACAGATTTCGACCAATAAATTATCACTTTGGAAAAAATGCTCGCACAAATACACCAATAATTATTCTGGAAGCGATGGTCAATAGAATATTTAAACCTCTTACAAAACAGACCCAAATGGGTGAGACCATTCAAGAACTTGAAGGTCAATGACATGGTATTATTAAAAGATGAGAAGACTTTGCCTTTAAAATGGCCAATAGCCAGAATCCTTGAGGTGTTCCCTAGTAAAGATGACAGAGTTAGAGTTGTTAGAGTAAAGACCGCGAATGGTGAGTTTACTTGTAGCATTGTGAAGGTTTGTCATCTTCCCATAGAAGGTCAAGAGGATGACTATGAATCACTTGATTAATTTTGTTAACTAACTAAGTACCTATGTTTTTTTTTTATATTATTTTTACTGTACTTTAGGTTATATGCTTATTATTGTAGTCTAAGACTCCAATGGGGCCCAGTATGTTGCAGAAACTGTTTCTACAACAAGAATTTTTTTTTGCGCTCTGTATACCTCACTTGCCGTACTTGTCACTCTTGACTGTTGTTATGGCACCAGCACTTTTCAACTGATCAATTGAAAGCCGATATATGGCAACAAAATTCTACATATAGAATTTGTAGGAACAGAAAAAACGAAAAACGACACATCGCCATTGCTTCTTTCGGTTTGTGACAAGTTTTTGTGAGAATTTTTAACACTCTGTTACATTACCTAAAAAGAATCTGAAAAAAGGCACTCTTTTTTCTTGTAAAAGTTGACTGCACCAGTGCTGTGTTGGCAGAGAAAGCCCCCCTTTTGATGGTACAAGAAAATTGTCTTCATTTACAATATTGTGTTGGCTGAAGAGTGAAGTCCCCTTTCTATTAGACAAAATAATCTGCGTTGACAGTGTTGTGTTGGCTGGAAGCACCCCTTTCATTAGACCACAGCCGCCTTCATCTAAATAACATACAGTGTTGTGTTGGCTGGAAGCTTCCTTTCGAGCCCCCTTTTGATTGGAAGTTTGGAACAACACGGCGCCGTCTTGTCGTTTGGTGGTGTGTCGAATAATATCCTCCTTTGTACTACCAGATCCAGCCGTTCTTTTGTAGTGCTACAGTAAGAGTTCAAAGGCTGTACTTGTGAAGAGCCCAACGCCTGGCTCACCTTTTTAGTGTTATTTTAACTAAATATTGAATAGTAACTTCAACTGTGGTGCTGTGTTAAGGCTTAAGAGAAGCCCCTGCTGTTAATTCTATGCTACTACTAGCCCTGCGTGCTGCCCTAGCTTGTTGTTCAACTCAATCCTCGGATCAATAAAAAAAAGTAAGAATAGTTTTAATTGACTCATATTATACCTAACATTTGATCTCGATTATCATATGAACACTCGTATTAACATTATTTTATGTTCACCTCGCTGTGATTTTTGAACCAGTATTTACTTGAACTAGAGCATAACACCTCTAAATTGATAAATTTATAATTATTGAATTAGGTATTATCTCTGGCTCGATCTCTGGGTAGATACATACTTTTCATCAATTAAATCATTTTCAACTAAATAGGTACTTTTGTACATTGGTGTGTAGATATAGGTACTTACTTGATAGTTTTCGACTCGTTGTATTAATTTTGTTATAGCCTTTATACAGTGTGTATCAGCCAAATGGAATAAATTCGATAATAAATAAATGGGGCACTTTTTGGAAAAACGCTCGAACACGTCAATTTTGTTTTTTTGCTTGAGATTTTTTCACATCAATTTTCTTATACAGGGTGTTCCGAAAACAGCTGTACCGTTATCGACTTTAATTTTTTTAATGGTACTCCCTGTATGTACATTTCTGGATTCTGCGAAAAATTCTAGACATATTTCATGTACAATGTCATATACCTATCTTCAACTGTTTCGGAAATATTGACAGTTGAAAATTGACTTTTTTACATCTTGGACAGACTGTAGAACCTGAACGGTTAATTTTACAGCAAAACCGATCATACATTTTTATCTTAGTTTTTCATAAACTATCATTTGACACCAAATTTGAATTTAATCCATGATTAGAAATTTTGCTTAAATTATTAATCTCCGGTTAAATTCAAAGTTGCTGTCAAATGATAGCTTATGAAAATCTAGGATAGGAAAGTGAAAACGGTTTCGCTGTAAAACCAACCGTTTAGCTTTTACAGTCTGTCAAAGATGCAAAAAAGTCAATTTTCAACTGTCAATATTTCCCAAACAGTTGAAGATAGGTATATGACATTGTACATGAAATATGTCTAGAATTTGCCGCAGAATCCGGAAATATAATAATATACAGGGGGTACCATTAAAACTAAAAATGATAATGGTATAGCTGTTTTCGGAACACCCATTATAAAAAAAATGGTGTGAAAAAATCTCAACCAAAAAAATAAAATTGACGTGTTCGAGCGTTTTTTCGAAAAGTTTTCCATTTATTTATTATCGAATTTATTCCATTTGGCTGATACACACTGTATAGTGCTTATAGTAGGTATATTTTATTATAATTAATAAATTGTTCAATCAATTAGAATGTTTCAAGTGTTTCATTTCTTTCACTGGAAAAAAACAACTTTTATTTAAACTTATTTAAATCAGTTTTGGAGTATAGCTGAATGATCTAAGGCTGATCATTCCCACTCTTTATGTTGTAGTTATGTCACAGTTATTGCGTTTCTGCGACAATTAGCTTACTGTGTCTGAGCTTCGGAAGAATTTGCCAGCGAGTTTGGTGTTGTCTATACATCCATTAATTCATTTTTGTTCTTACCGAAAATTTTGTGGTGCCAATTGCCGGTTCAGGGCCAGTATAACTGGTTGCTGATCCTTCTCTTAACCAGAGCATTTGTTATTTCATTGCCTCCAATTCCTTCATTCCCTGACACCCATTTAAGGGTTACCTTGTTGGCCATACTTGGGTTTTTGAAGTTTTCCAAGCATTCCGAGACAAGTTTGGATTTTATTTCAAAGCTGTTGAGTACTTTGATCGACGCTTGACTGTCTGAGCATCAGATAAGGATGTTTTTATTTGTGTATCCCCTCTTTAGGTTTTCTCTCAGACAGGAGTCGATGGCATATATTTCTGCTTAGAATACAGTAGTATATTCTCCCAGTGGTTGACTGATGTCGCATCTGGAAGTTTGTTTATATATTATATAAGTCGTCAGTAAACCAGACAATTTCCTAATTAGGTGTTACCCCGGTATTTCCTACTGGGACAAACTCGATGGCGAAGGATTTTCCGAGGGATTTTTTCGGCATCATATAGTCGCTACTAATGGTTAAAATCGGGTTTGTGATTATTTCGGTGATTGCCGCATGTCCATTTGGTTTTGGGTTCCAGGTTCAGCTGGAGACGTTATGTCCCGATTCTAGCCTCTGCTTTGACGATTAGGTCAATTGGTGGGAGGTTTAGGATCGTTTCAATATTTGCCGTTGGTGAAATTTAAGTGGCGTAGTCGGTAGGATTTCCGAAAATTGATGTGTCACATCTCATAAATCAGAAACACGATTAGGTACGCATGTAGGTACATTGAAACAAATAGGTATAATTTATCAATAATAATAGTTTTTATACAAAATATTAACTTTTTAAAATGTTTAGGTACATTGATCACAGAATCAAAAATATATACACTATTAAATACAACTAGCATATAGGTTTATCATGTTGGCATAAATTCCGTTGAAGCTGGTCATTTATGTCATTAGTTCGTATGACACTCACTGGTTTATTCAATTTGGACGCAATTAGCAACCGATGGCCAATCACAACGATTTTCTTCCGTGGACCATTCTAGCCCAGCTGGGCATGGCATCAAATGGGCAGCACCATTTGAGCATTCCCAATATGTACGACAATCCTTCGGGTTTGGATAGAATACAACACCAGGTTCACATTTCTCTGAAAAATACACAGGAATATTTAATTACACAGACGATTCAATATGAATGATTTGCACACAAAAAAGGAAGGGGTACTTACGGGGCTTTGGAGTAGTACCAGTCGTTTCAGGCCTATTAGTTGACGTGCTAATAGTTGTTGGGCTATAAAGGATTTTCTTCAATAAAAATAAATCGTATGCAAAACAGTAGTCTTACCATATTAATTCATCCTCGCTCCACCCCATTTTATCACAGTGTGCATCTTTCTCGTAGCTGCAAACTTTTTCTTTAGAATCCCAGTGCAAGTCAGCAGCACAGGCCATCTTCGTAGCTATACCATCGAAGCATACCCAGTAATAATGACAATCATAATCTGCCAAATAGATTGTCTCACGGCATCCTTTCTGGCAAAGCGCTGCATGAATAAAAATTAATTTCTAGATTCAATTGATTATTGATTTGAAAAACTTACGTGCTAGAGGATTTTCTGTAGATGTTTCGCAGCAAGGTTTCTCAGTGGTATAAACGGGACTATAAAAAGAGGTTTGTATTAAAATAACTAAAATACTGAAACTACTATTTACCAAATCAAGTCTTCCCACGTCCATCCATATTCATTACATCCTCCGATATTGCAAGTCTTTGATACTGAATTAAATACCAATCCTTCAGGACATTTCTTCCTGTAAGCTCTGCCGTTGACGCATTGATAAAAGTATTGACAACTTGTTTTATCACCGACATAAATATTATGGGGACAATCTTCTGGACAATCGGCTACGGAACAAAAATCATTGTAATTACTATATTTGAAACCTTTTTTAAAGCTTACGAGGATCAATAGGCTCTAGCGTGCTGACATAGGTGGTGCTTTCTGGAGGAACACTGTAAAATGAAATATAATATTTCCTATTTGTGCATCATATTTTAAAGCTTACCATTCCAAATCGTCCCAAGTCCAATCTCTACAAGGGACGTCATGCTCAAAGTTCCACGGCCAATCGCAAACGTTAGCTTCCGGATTATAGTGAAGATCGCAGGGACATTCTAGCAGCGTTGCTATTCCGTTGGCACATTGCCAGAATAAGCTGCAATTGCTGTGTGGCAGGTAGATGTTGTATGGACAATCGCTTGAACAGTTTGCTATAGGAGAATTAATTGGAATAATTTTCACAATTCAAACAAAACTGGAGAAAAGGCAGAGGTTGAGGTTGAAAATACTTACGTGGGTTTGATGCTATAGTGGTACCGGCTGAAGTTGTAGAAGTTGATTTGGTGATTGTTGTAGATTTTGTTGCAGTTGTAGTTTTTTTTGTTGTTGTAGTAGGTTTGGTTGTCGATGTAGTTGTAGACGGAGTGGTCATTACTGGGCTGCAATTTCAGTTTGTTTAGTGTTAGTTTAACCAACTTTTTACATAAGGCTAAGATTTAGTTGCGCATTGACGTTGATTATACAACTATGGTCAGATTTCAAGTTTTTGCAACGTTTATTTGACTAAGAACTGATTTCAATAATTTACTATAGGTGAGACGACGTTTAGAATAATTACCTACCATATTAAATCAGTAGAATTCCATCCTTTTCCATCGACGCAATTGGACAAACTTGGCGGGACGCATGTGTTTTGACTGGTATCCCATTCAAAAGGAGCACAGTTATGCTTCTCAGCTACGCCATTCCGACAAATCCAGAAATAACTGCAGTTGTAGTCGGGAAAGAAAAGCGTTGGCTTGCAGTTTTCAGGACAATTTGCTGGAAGAAAAAGAAAATTAATAAACCTACTTGCTGAATGAAGGAACAGAAATTATACTATGGATACAATATTACATATTGATAATGGTAATACTTTTAAAATGGATAAAATTCTATGAATGGCACCTGGAAAAGTCGATTATATGTAGATTACAATGTGGCATTCTCTTCTTAACCACGTTTTTTTTCAATGAGATTATTCTAAGGGAGTCAATGAAGATAAATTTCTAAATGTTCCATTTGGCAGTAGATTGGAGAAGTTCATCAAAAAAAAAAAAACTGATTAAATAGGGAATCTAAAATGAGCTGCCAGAAATTGGAAAAAAAAGTTGGAAATCTCTGGCCCTTAACACTTAAGTTTATTGGTTTTTCTGGATTGGGGTTAAGTATTATTTGGCAGAAATATGTATTTATAATTTTCATTATAAATGTTACTTACGAGTTTTTTGAGAGACATCTTGTGCTAAAACACATGTTGCTAACACTAGCACCACCAAAGTACTAACTAAAAAATATATTTTAGACATTATTTTAGTGGCTCTTCTGATAAACCCAGGAGCTAATATGATTTTCGATCATTTAGTCCACTATTTATATCCTTTACGAGGATGTTTTTGTTTTGTACTAATAGAAAATCATTATTCTTATTATTGAAATAATTGTTTTTGTTTAATAATCCCGAAAGGATCAGGGATTTTAACCCATTTTAATACTTTAATATTTTATTTTGGAGTTTTGTCTTTATACACAAATACCTGTTTGGGGTTTTACAATAAGAAAATACTTCTAGCGAACTAAATATTCTTAAGCTTGGCTTTAAGGTTCTCTGTATTCAAGTATTAATCCATCCAATTTTCAAGATTTTGTTCTTGATTTGCAGAACCTTTACGCTCAATCTTTCAAACCCTTGGTAAATACTCCTATATATATATATATATATATATATATATATATATATATATATATATATATATATATATATATATATATATAATTATCGGTTTATAACGTTCTACGTCTTCCGATTCCCGATCTCCAACCATCTTTGTTAATCCAGGCATCCTCTTCTAAGCCTCTATCTTCCATTTCCTCGTCTACTCCGCTTCTCCAGCTTCTTCTTGGTCTGCCGCGCCTTCTACTTCCCCCTGGCTTCCACTCAATTATTTGCTTGGGTATTCTTGTATCTGCCATTCTTTGTACATGTCCGAACCAAATCAGCTGTTTGTCCTTTATATCATCTATTATTGTGTGTTTTACGTCCATAATCTCCCTAATTCTCAGATTTGTTATTCTTTCCATTTTTGACCTGCCTGCCGATCTCCTCCAAAAGTCCATTTCAGTTGCTTATAGCATTTTTGCGTTTCTGATCTTTAGTGGCTTCTGAACTATACGTGACTATGCTTTTGACTATGGTGTTGTATATTCTCGTTTTATTAGTTTTGTTGATATTTTGATCCCTTGCCTTGCGTCCTTGTATATTCCGATCTTTAATTGCTTCGTCTAGGGCTCCCTCATGTGAGATTTTCATGCCCAAATATGTGTATCCAGTATATTGTTTTATTTCTTGTCCGTTATTCAATTCCAGATTTCGTTGTTCACCTCCTATAGTCATATATTCTGTTTTCGTTAGATTTACTTCCAAACCCCATTTCTCGTACTCTTCTATCAATTTTCGTGTCATGTACTCTAGGTCATCATAGTCCTATGCAATTAATACTTGATCATCTGCAAAGCTTAAAGTATAAAGATTGTATTCATTGAGCGGTATTCCCATGTGTCTACATTTGTTTTTCCACCCTTTGAGTGCTTGTTCTAAGTATATTTTAAAAAGTGTTGGTGATATGCAGCATCCCTGTTCAAGTCCTTTAGTTGCTATAAAGCCTTTACTGATTAAGTTTCCCTGTTTAATCTTGGTCTTTTTTTTTTCGAACCCGAGACCCACTGCATGCAAAGCGAAGACACAACCGCTGAGCTGCTTGGGTCTGCATCACTATAGAGCGTTTTACTGCCTTTATTAGTTCTAAGTTGATATTGGTCTTTTCCAGTGCTTCCCAAAGCTTTTTCAGCGGAACATTGTCGTATGCTTTCTTTAGATCGACAAAAAGTAAATGGAGTTCTTGGTTATAGGCTAGTTTCTTTTCCATTACCTGAGTCAAACTGAATAAATGGTCTACAGTTGATCTTCCTGCTCTAAAACCGGCCTGTTCTTCTGCCTCACTATCTTTGTAAATACTTGTCTTATTTATACTTATCAAGACGAAGAGCTGCCCTAGGTAATGAAATTTTATTGAAAATATAGATTACATTGGAGAATGGCTGTAGGATCATGTGTTCTAGGTACTTTAACGACCTCCTACAAAACTGGCATTTCTCTGAGTTAACCTTTAAGTTGTCGCAATCGGTAAAAAACTCGGCTCAGATTATGCAGGTGTGATTCAAACGTGACCCCGATTATAATAAAGTCATCCAGCTAGCAGAAGCAGTATGGGTCCATGTGTGGACCAACGACGCCATCCATCAAGCGCTGCAAGGTCGCTGGGGCGGAGTGTAAGCCAAATGGCATCAACTTGAACTGAAATAATCCCCGAGACGGAACGGTTAGCATCTGCCAGTACCCCTTTTTGATGTCGATGCTGTAGATGTATCGGGCGTTGATAATCTCTTGCATAAGTGGGTTTCGTGGACGGTACTGTTGTTTGACTGGTTGTGGGTCAGTTGAATGGATTTTGTGTTCTACCAGTGGAGTCGTTCCAGTGATTTGTTCGAACAGTGGAAGCTCAATGTCTAGGAATTCCTTTAACTGGATTTCCTCTCTGGCAGTCAGTGTTAAGGGCGGCGGGGAGTTTTTCGGAGTCTCGAATTCTAAAAGATTGATTTGATCTGGTTTGGCTGGTGTGGACACTTGTTCTGATTTAACGTGACAGAATCATCACGTAAGTTGATCACGAAATCACATTTGGATAAAATGTCCATCCCAATACTTATGTGGTATCCAGGGTGGTTTGTAGGGATGCGGTGTTCATATTCAGTACTCGGACTAAGGGGGTAAGGCCGGCTGACTGGGTTGGACGGTTAACTTGAGGGGGTCGGTCTGTGGAAAGAGGATAATGGAGGACCTAATTCCGCCGGGGTTCCTCAGGAGCATTTAGTTCCTGGCGTAGTAACTTCATATTCTCGCACCACCTGGATTGAAAATTGTGCAAGTCGGATCGGCGGATGTAATGTCGGTATTCGGGACGCAAGTTGCGGTATAGCCACTGGAGTTCCTGGACTAGGGAAATTCCACCATGCCTCCTAATCATTGTGTGCATGTCGGTAACGTAAGCTATCGCGGACTTCCCAGGACTTTGAAGTCGACCGCTAATTTCGCTTCCAAGTCCACCTCATAGTTCACCGGAAAATAACAAGTGCGGAATGCTGGAATAAACTCATCCCAGCTTTGCCAATAATGTCGGTTATTTCTAAACCACATAGCGGATTTCCCCTGGACTAGTTCAGGGAGAACCTGTAACAAACTGTTAGTGTTTACTTGCTGCGTGACACAGATTTCTTCCAGCCGTTCCAGAAAAACAGCGGGATTTCCTCGCCCAGAGAATTGGATATTCCAGTGCGTTGTTTTCGGTAAAAAATCAGCGGTCGGTATCGCAGGGGGTGTCGTTACACCAGCTAGGGGTTGGTTGATTGAGAGGCGGCCGATCGGTGATTAGATTGACAGGGATGGCAGGGAGGTAATGACTGAAGGTACCGTAATAGTGGTGGGGTTTGCAGGGAAGACGAAAGAGGGCGCTACTCTGGTTGGGGTACGGTTAGCATCCCTGATGAATTTAATTAGGCGTCTTCGAATCTCGTTCACAGTGCCAGTAGTGTTCAATGCGAACTTCTGTAACTCAGCGAAAATTTCAGGTCTCTGGAGATTGTTGATCCACCCTACACGAGAGTCGTTGGGGTCGGGTGGGGCATTTGAAAAGGTGTTCAGTACTGGGGCGGTGGTAGTAACGGGGAATTATTTTTTTTTTTTTTTTTAAATTAAAAAAAAAAGAAAATCACAATGAAAAGAGGAAAAAAATCAATGAGCTTCACAAGTTCGGGGATACGGTCAATACTTCAAATCTAAACAGTCCCTGCTCGGGCGCCAATTGCATAAACTCCTCATTTGATGGGGATCTTAAATAGATATTGTCAGTCCAAACTACACTAACAATTATTGGAAAAAGTCTTATATTTTGATATGATAAGAATGAAAAAGCTGGTAACTTTCCAAAAACACAGGACTCTACTCATATTTATTCCGAAATCGCATTGGATGATGCATTAATCGACATGAGCCATGAAAATGGGACAAAATAGGGGGATGAAACCTCTTTATGAAAGTCCTTTTTCAGTTGGTTGTTTTTGATTTCAGGACAAACTGTCATGTCTTTTCTTGAAGTTTTTTAGTCAAACTATTCAACTATGTAGTACCTAATAGAAATAGAATCCTGTAGTAAAAAATTCGCCTGAGATGTAATTGTTTAAAAAGTCCTAAACAATATATTCAAATACTTGATTAATAAGCTTCAATTTTCTTATTTATTATCGGTTTATTAATCTTTTTATCACTCTTCAATTAGCATAGGTCAATGAGGTTCCAGATTAAAGTGATTTATGATACCTAATATAATAATATTTTTCAAAAATATTAATAATTGTGCATTTTTGTAGATACATATTGGAATAAGCTCCTTAGAAAACAAAGGACCCTGCCCAAAGTATATGGAGATTGTGTTTGTCAGAATTGGCTGAATTTTGTATATAATGTAGATAACGCCTTCCTGATTAAAAGCTACCATTGCACCAATCTGATTCCTTTTTGAGAAAATTAATTTCATAGGTAGCAAGTAAAACGCTTGGACATTGTAATGAACGTACATACAAATAAGTGGATTACTGCGGAACTTATGGGTGCGGGACGAGCGCAGCGAGTTCCGCAGCCATCTACTCACCAATATACTGTTGAACTGTTCAAATAAGACACTCATCTGACTGACAGGTGTAGTTTTTGAACTAATGAGAAAAATTCACAACTGACTGAATCAGGTTGTACTTGAACAACATATTGGTGAATAGATGGCTGGGTTCACCCATAAGTCCCGCAACAATACACTCGTTTATACTTGAATAACTTGTCACAATACATTACTAGTTTGGTAAAGTAACATTTACTAATTCCTGTTAAAGGGCAAATTGACAAAAAGTGGATAATCTTACAAATTCTGACTTTATATAATAAGTTATTGTTCTAGTACAAATAAGTGGATTGTTGCGGAACTTATGGGTCGATTCCCAAACAGGGACCGTTGTGTTCCTGTATTCACGTTGGTCATTACCTGAAAAAAATCTCTCTAACAACAAATAGGTAAGCTTGTCGCGCAGTGGTGTGCTACGTATAGTAATTTTTCAGGATTGGTGCAATGGTAACTTTTAATCAGAAAGGCGTGATCTACATTACATACAAAATTCAGCCAATTCTGACATAAACACAATTTCCGTATTCTTTGGGCAGGGTCCTTTCCAGACTTTCAACAATTCTAATATTTTGCTTCATCCTAGAAACCCCTTTAGACTGATCAATAGTTATGACTTAGTTCCAATATTTCTAAGTGATAATCTTGGTTATTGGCTACTCTTCTGTATGAAGTATTTCCAGCTAATTACCTACCTACTGTACATCTGTTGTAGGTACTTTTTTTTCTAAAAATTGTGATAAATTTGATAATGTTAATCTTTATTATTTATACGTAGTACCTTGTGCACAAAAATGTAGCCAAAAACAAAACTCCATAATAAAATATATTGAAATCCCCGATTTTTCAGAAATTAATTTCTAAACAAACGCAACTAATTAGATTATTAATTTTTTATTTGATACTGATCTACAAAAAAACAAAAACAACCTCGTAAAAGGGTTTACTTAATGCAGGAAAAATATATACGAAATATATTATTATTTTTCTGTCCTCCACCAAAGGAACTACCTACAAATTAATCACCATAATGTTATTTCTAGTTATCACTTTAGGGTTACCAACATGTGTTTTTCTAGCTCATTCGCGTAAGTAACATTTATATTAATAGCAAACAAAATGTCTAAATTAATATGGGGTATTTGAAAATTTAAAGTGCTTATTATTGAGGGTACATAAGTAAGTTCTCAAGCAAAATATTGGTATCTATATGCCTCGTTACTTAATAGAGTGCCAAGGTATCATTTCGATGCTTATTTAATCGAAGTTATAGTCTGTATACTCGAACATTTATTTACAATAAGTTATTATCCATTATTTTTAGTTAAAAAGGTGAAGACAGAAAGGTATAAAGCAAGATAATGAATAATATTATCAGTCTCTTTGTTAAGTTTCTAGTCACCTAATGGGCACAAGTATACACCTGACTTCTTACATATAGTTTTGTTTAAAAATTATTGTTATTATACCTATTATCAATTTTAGCAAACTGTCCTGATGGATGCCAAACACCCTTCTTCCTTCCACATGAAACATGTCGCAAATATTGGCAATGTCACAACGGTATATCTTATGAATTCAGCTGTATGGAGAACCTCGAATGGAACCCTAAATTAGAGTTTTGCGATTATAAAGGTTCTTCTGGGTGCAAACTCGAAGGATTTGAAGGAATGTCTCTAGATTGGTAAGTTAATACAATTCTTCTTATACCTACTTTCAAGTAAATTATTTTTGTGTATTTGTTTACAATTATTAATAATTGTTTAGGTAGCTTTATTATGTTTGCATGTAATCAATTTTAATTTGATTGCTATACCTACAAGTTTTATTTTAAGTTTAGCTTCCTGTATTTGATGATTGTAAGTATCAATTTAAAGTCTAGGACGTTAACATAGATATATACTTATCGTTTGTAATGTTTTTGTTGTTAAATTACCAATATATACCAATATCAATTTTATATTTATTTTATTTTTTTTAGTCCAAAAGAAAAGCCATCAAGGGTACCACTGGCAGCAATTCTAGGTTTCATCCCACTCAGGATCAATACTTCGTAGCCACAGAAATGGGATGGAGAACGTTTTGGCTAGTTACTCAATTTCCAACTTATTCCAACATGCCCTTCGATCACTTTTGGATTCATCATTGAAAAAATTGATGTCCTTTGTCAAATCTGTTGATAGTTTTCTTCAATTCCTGATGATTGATGGAAATGAAATTCTGTCGAGAAGGTTTCTTCATTGATTGATTGATAATTGATATTTGGATTATTTAAAAATACTTATGTAGTGTGGATATTGGTTTTACCAAAAACAAAATACCTCGCAAAATACCAAAGATAATTTTTGTAAAATATTGTTGAATAAATTTTCTGTTATTTTTCATTTACCTACAATAATAAAAATCCCATCAAGCTATATATGAAATGTTTAATTTTAATTAAACTTAATAAATAAAATTACAGTTTTTTGAATCCTTGTATTTAAAAATTAATCGTCCTCAATGGGTACACAAACGTTGTGTTTATTTGCGCAATATCCTTCTTTACAATAGCATCCATTAATTGCTTGGTCAGTACAAACTTCCGAATCGCATTTGTTAATGCAATCGTTTATATCTCTGCAAGCTCTAACCCCAGTACATTCACAATCACATGGGGGAGCGGTTTGAGCCAGGACTGTAACTGAAAAATACAAATAACGTACAATGTTGTTTAAATAGTTGATAGGTTTGTTCGTATTTAGTTCAGAATCATTTCTGAATTGTTCATATGACCAAATGCGCAAGCGCAGTTCAATTCAGAACTGATTTTGGGCTAAGTCCGAACAAACCTAATATCATGTAGCTAGTAGATACTTTGAAGAAATTTCAATAATTACAAAGGCTAGAGTTTGACATTCATTGATTAGAAATGCGTAGAGAAGAATTTTGCTTACTGAGAACTGAGAAAAAAGGCATGAAAGAAGTATCAGAAATCAATGACATGGAGAAACATCATCAAGGATATATCAAACAAATAACTTTTAAAAGAAGGAAATAAAGAAGCAAAGAAAGAAAATACAAACGAAGACTGAATAAGCGCTGAAAAAGAAGGAAATTGATTAGGCAAAGATGAAGTTGATGTGTAACAAAATACAACGGCATATGGAGAAATTGATAGAATATTACAGACTCTCAAAAAAGATATAAGGATCAATGAAAGAGTCAGTTCAGCTGTTCAAAAATTAAACTAAAAAATATCTAGTAAAGTACTCAAGCATTTTTTGAAGCTGATATTGGAAAATACATTTTCATTTTTACCTATAAATAGGTGCTGGGCCATCAAAAACAGTACAAATAACTTATTCATCTTATATTGCTGTTTAGAGAGGAAATTGGTGAATAACTAGGTTACAATGTAAGGAATATTATTTTAGGCGCACATTTATATACCTACTGATTATAATAAGTAAATAATGTAGGTACGCATTTAGTGATAAAAAATTACCACGAAATATTTTTTTTTCTATTTTTATGGAATAAAGTGTCAAATATTAACACTTTTTCCTTGAACTATAACAATAATTATGTTTGTATGTAATCAATTTTAATTTAATTTCCATACGGGCCGGTTTCTCAATCGCTGGTCACGCCCGGGTTAAAGGGGGTGTGACCCTAAAAAACGACTCAAGCTACTTAAATCAAGAAAAAAAATCTAAGATCTCTCGTGAAAACCGCAGTCCTATGTTCAAAATAGTCCCCGAGAAAATTGCTTGTGAAGATAAATTATGTAGGAGTTTGTGATGTCACAACCGCCGAAATCGCAGTATTCTGTTCGTTCAGTTGTGAGTGAACCGTACCCTATACTTTCAGTGGTTGCAATTCGCTTTAGGAGATAATTGTCTTCTGTTTTGGAAAATTCTTACACGTGTTAATACTGTTCCTGATAATCCAGTGTGACGTCACAAACGCCTAGTTGTAACTTTAAACCGCTCTAAGTCGAAAACGGACCATCGTAGTAAGATGCGGTTTAAATATTTATTCTTAGATTTTTTTGCACTAAAACTTCCATTTTTGGGTCACACCCCCTTTAAGCATAACTCCAGGGTAAACTTAGCAACTGGACACGTGTACCCTGGAGTTAAAACTAACCCGGAGCTGATTCGCTATTAAGAAACTGGCCTTAGAAGTTTTATTTCAAGTTTAGCTTCCTGTTGTTTAGTTTCGTCTACGCGCCCTGTATATAGTTGTAGATTAAATTGGGTATTTAGGATGTTAAATCCTATTTGGGAATGGAAATTGATTCGTTTTTCTATATTCTAATTGAATTCTATGCCTAAGAATGATACGGCTTTGCTGAATTTGGCTTTCAAAAATCCGCGCGGTAAACACTGAAAAGGGTACCGGACCGGCACTATCTGACGACAAGCAGTACCAATTGCCAAAAATACTTCGTTCGCTTCGAGAAAATAGATCCGCGGTTTTTTGTTTGTTAAATCAAGACGGTTTCGTTGCACTCCTACGCATGGGACCTGAACTTCCTGAATGAGCTGGCCAGTTGAGTGGAGTTTGGAAGTAGCGCAAGGTAAGGTGAGAAAATATCTTTTTCAGTTTCGATATCTTTCAATTTCATTTTAAAATCTTTCATCGATTACCATTCTATCAGCAACCTGTGGATTTTCCAGTTTTAATTTCGCACACCTGTATTTGATGATTGTAAGTATCAATTAAAAGTCTAGAACTTGAACATAGATATAAAATTTATCGTTTGTAATGTTTTTTTGTTGAAAGAGCAACATTTATTTTGTATTTATCTAGGTTCCATGCCACTCAGGCTCAGTAGTTCGTAGCCACAGAAATATAGGATGAAACCAATGACATGAAATACATTTTGGCTAGTTAATGTATACTTAAAGTTCATTTCACCAAACGAGATAGTGAAAGTAAACAAACTTTGACAGGTAAGTCGAATTTTATTGGCTAGAAAAGGATTATACTCCGCCCTAGGCAGAACTGTCTTAGGTTGTTTTGTATTTCTATTCTCTGAATATATTTCTTTTTGGTTGGCGTTGTAGGTATCCAAACATAAAAGCTTTGAAACAAAACAAAAAAGGCAACAAATTTAACTGTAAACGTAATTGAAGGTATATTATAGAAATAATTTCCATTTCTAAAAGCCCTGCCTCGTTTAGACCGCTTTTTAGGAACGAATTTTTCAGTGGAATTTGTTGAACTTGATATTGTTCTAATCTAAATTGCTCACTGATTAACAATAATTCACCAAACACTATTTAAATAATTGTAAAATACTAGGAAATACGACACAACTTATTGACTCACACAAAACTCATATGACAACCTGAAAAAATAAATGTCATTAGTTGTAATTCATATTTTTGCAGTCCTACTCTGAATTTTCAAGCTCCGCCTGTTTGTTTACATCTACTATCTCGTTTGGTGGAATGAACTTTACTTAATTTCCACCTCAATATTGCACTTCGATTTACTTTTGGATTATTGGATTCTCCATTTATTTGATGTTCTTTGTCCAATATGTTGAGAACTTTCTTCATTTCCTGATTGATACAGATGGAATTTTGTTAACAAGAGGCTCCACTCCTCCATTATGATTAAGTCTCTTCGTTATTTGACTGGATATTGATATTGATACTTGAATATAGAAAAAATAAATAATTTTGATTAAATTTATTCATGTAGTTTGAAAGTTAGTCAAAATAAATAAAAATAAAATAGAAACCATTGAACTAAACAAACACTCTGGAATAGGAGCACTGCTTTATGCTAGTGAGGCGAATTTTGATATATGCAACCCAGCAATACGGAGGGATTATTGTCTCGCTCGCACTCATTGCGATTAATGTGAAAGAAAGAAGAGCTTCTTCATCTTCCTAACCTCAATGATCCAAACACTTGAAACAGCTGTTCTCAATAGCCGCTATAGTGCAGAGAGAGGTGCGAATCCCTCTTTTTTGTTGTCCTTTTTGTCTCAAACCCTTGCGTAGGAACATTTTGGTCAGGGGATCGATCAGCTGTTTTGAAAAGCGTGTCGGTAATTTTTGAAAAAGTTGAATCTTTCTAAAAATAAGAGAAGAAGTGTAATAAGACCAGCCAAAAACAAAGACATGAACAAGAGGGGTAAGTCCCCAAATAAAATGTCTGCTTTTGCTTGCCTGTAAATAGCTTTTATTTTTAACCATATATGGAATGTTGACATTACTGATTTTTTAAAAATTTAGAAAAGGTCACTTTACTGTCTTTTCATTTTCCGTCCTCATTTCCCGTCCTCGTTTCCCGTCCTCAATAAATTTTTAATAAAAACACATTTACAACAATTATTATATTTTGTTAGAATAAAATCTTCACAATAACAATTATTTATTAATATTTATCACTAAATTAGCATTATTATAGGCATTTACACAAATTTTGAGACCCTCCTGAAGTTGTGTTTGATTTGATATTGTTATATCTTGTAGAGGTACTTCAATGGCAGTGGGTTTTATTGTTTGGCGGCTTATAGTACTAGAAGAGGTTTCTGGCAGAGATAACATCTGCGCCGTTTTAGTTTGGTTTTCCATGGATGATTCCACATATCCCTCGGCAACGGAGCTAGATTTCCATCCGCCTAGCCGTTTTAATTGCAAGACATTGGCTCCATTGTCAGCCAAAATTGTAGCAGCTGTGCGTCTGAAGGCGTGACCGGTAAAAGTCTCTACTCTGGGAAGCTTTAAGAAAGAAGCGATCTTCCTAGGAAAGCCTGAAATAGAGTGGTACCCCAAAGCTTGGTTATGCAGTTTTCCATGTCTCCATTGTAAAAAAATCGTTCGTTCTCAACTACTTTTCGCAAATTAATATATTTTTGCACGAATTTCACCCAATCTTGATCCACTATCAGAAAAGATCGACTTTTGTAAGTCTTGGTGTTCGGTATTTCAATTACAATCTTGTGTTCGAGGAGGTTAACGTGATTTGCCTTCATTTTGAGAAGTTCATCGCTCCTGCAGGCCCCGGACACACCAATAATAAGCGCTACCTAGAACAATGAATAAAAAACATGTAAAAATCTTCCTTTCTTTATTAAACTGATGATCTTTTGTGATGCGTAATATTTCAAATTCAGATTTAATGCTATAAATAATTCAAAAACCTTCGTCATTTATCTTCTAATACAGCTCATCCAGGAGATGAAATATGGTATCATCAGTGTTTTTTGACTGCTGAAACAGAGACAGAGAAAGCAATTTATGTCTATCAAGGAAGCTCACCATCCACCTTAATTAGCCACTCTACAATTTTAGTCATCAAAAGCCTAAGTGCGCGTTCACATTGGCACCGCTCGAGCGGTGAGCGTTGCGCGATGCCGCTGTAGCGATGCCCAAAAATAATTTTAACACAATATTTCGAGTGAACATGTTAACACCGCGGGACGCGCCGCTCCAGTGTGACCATGTTCATTTGAAAAATAATGTTAAAATTATTTTTGGGCATCACTACAGCGGCATCGCGCAACGCTTACCGCTCGAGCGGTGTCAATATGAACGCGCACTAACTGAGATATCGTCCCATCCAGAAGATTTTCTATTTTTGATAGTATGAATTAAGGTAAATATTATCTGCTTTCAAATTGGAAGCACATATGTATCTTTCTTTTTTTTTTTTTCGCGTGAGTCGTTACTCTTTTTGTTTATTGGATGCGGATGCCCAACCTCTCATTGTAATAAATCTTCCTTGCCTGTTTCATCGTCTTTCTGTAGATGCTCCTGTATCCATTATTTAAAGTAGGTCATAAAAATATATTATCAATATCAAGAGCAAACTTTCTTAAAGAATGAAGACACCTAAATTTTCTAGAAGCAATTCTTATACCTTTTGTGATACAAGGCTTTTACTTTTTCGATTTTAACTTGACTAACGGAAATGCATGGTTAAAAATTTCAATATTTTCACAATGAAATGAATGCAGAGCATTTACCTTCAGCAAAATCGTTCTTCAATCAAATCTAGAGCAAACTTGTGAAAAAACAATACAAATCAAAGCACAACACTGGACGGTGGAGTTACAACAAATAATTATTTTCACATTTTAAGGATAGGTCCTGGGTGTCCAAGTGAAATGTAGGTAGAGCAATCTTGCCCAAACAATAGGGATTCCGTAATTGGGTAGAAACGGCCAAAAATTGAGACGCACACAATAGAAAATGAGTATTTGATTATGATCATTAATGGCATAACCTAATGACGTTATGGTTTGTGTTTGTGTCAAATGTTTGTGTGCCTCTTGTCGGCCATATTTGTGTCACGTGTTTTGGATAGTCTAATATACTATTAACCTACATTTGAATTCCTAACCCAACCTTTATAGCTTGTTAAACACATGGGGTTGAATACAGGGGGTCCCAA